GGACGGCCTGAGGGTGAGCACATTTACAGCTCGTTTTCATCTTTGGGTGAACTGTTCCTTTAAGCGCTGTATACACAAAGCCTCCATTTATGGAAAGACCCTAATGAGTATTTCTCTCATGTTGTGACCTCAGGATGACCTTTTGACCTCTGAGATCAGGGTTTGAGCGTTGAGACGGGCTCCAGACCTCTGAACAGACGTCTCGAGGGTGTTCTGCTATGATTGACGTTCCTTGAAGATTTATCTTTGAACATTTTTCTGAAGACAGAGCAATGTGAGTATTAAGGGTCTGTGGGAAGGTTACTCTGAGAGGATCTGGTGGCAAGCCAGAGGCCTAACGACTGATTTCCGATTTCTCTGCTTCCTGGCGGAAAGAAACGTCAAAGCATGCTTTATCTACACTGAAGCGGATTGGCGAGAGGTATAAGCAGTCGAAAAACTAGGACAAAGCATGTGGGAAATAATAAATTCTTTGAAAGCTGCGTCTGTCTGACTGACAACAAAGAACTGTGATTTGCTCTCAGAGGAGGAGACGATTCGCCGTGATCCTCATTTAACACAGTAAAGTGTTTATCACAGTTAAAACAAAATCCACACAGATCTAAATTAATTACGCATTAATGCATAAAACACAAGAATATTCAACAAGAAATGTAGCTTATGCTTAATCGACAACATTTGAGATCAGTTACCTAATTCATCTTTTTAAAGTAGGACTACTTTTCTAGGCAGATGAATTTATAGTAGTGCATTTCCAATGTAATTTCAATGCTGTCTAGAATCCTTGCATATATTATGCAAAAAAAAAAGTTTATCAGGTCGACATGGTCGTGTTATAAATTGAAGGAAAAGTGCAATTGTGCTTTTTAGTCACACTAGTTTTGTGTTAACTTTAACTAGTGACCAATACATTTGATTAAGAATCAAAAATCATCTGACACAAATTATCAAATCAAATTATATATAATCTTTAGGGAATATTACAGATATCAGGTGATCAAGTGGAATGGCTACATGTTATGTCACACACTCACTCGTATTTTTATTGATTTTATATATATATATATATATATATATATATATATATATATATATATATATATATATATATATATACACACACACACACACACAACTGAACTGAATATATAACTTATGTATATATTACCTGCGAGGTAAATAAGCAATGAACCCCTGTGATGCTAATTCAGTCATACATCCATCCAGACAGAGAGGAAAGCCTGTGTGTACCTGTGGAGGATCTAGAGACGTGGGAATCTCTCCTGGACGCTCCGCTGCTCGTGTCCTCTCGACTAATGCAGTCATAACAGAGCAGTGCTGCTCCACACACACACACACACACACACACACACACACAGGACAAAAAAAGGAAAAGAAAAAGGAAAAGGAAAGGAACACCTTTCAAGAACCGATGCACAAAAATCTATCTGCTGGATATTTTATTTGTCAAAAAAATCCAAATAACTCTGTTGAACAGCCATGTTTAGTTATGTTTAGTTACACACACACACACACACACACACACACACACACACCCATCTCCAGAGAGATAAGGGAGAGTTCACCCAAAAATAAAAATTCTGTCCTTTTCTCACCCTCATGTTGTTCCAAACCTGTGTGAGTTTCTTTCTTCTGCTGAACACAAAAGATGATATTTTGAAGAATGTTGGTCACCAAACAGCTGACGGTAGCCACTGACTTCCATAGTATTTTCTTCCACACAATGGAAGTCAATGGCTACCAGCAACTGTTTGGTTACCAGCGTTCTTCAAAATATCATCTTTTGTGTGAACCAGCGTAATGAAATACATTCAGGTTTGGAACAACCTGAGGGTGAGTAAATGATGACAGAATTTACATGTTTGTGTGAACTGAAATGAGCCGTTCCTGAAGCCTTGACTGATGAACAAAGCATTCAGAGAGAGAGGAAGCAGAAAATCTCCCAGCATTCCCAGACACAGGCGGATCCAGCAACGGCTGAGATATTAAAATGAGCCTGTTTAGACATTCAAGTTGATTTGCAATGAAAATGTTTGAGAATTTACGCTCCAACCTATTCAGTAAAGAGTGAGACCTCCACCAGTGAGAAACTAGGATTTAATTAGCAATCACAGCCAAAACACAAAAACACAAAAATGAACTTTCAGCAAACACATTCAATAAATGTCAAAGAGAAAATGCCCTAATTTATATAAACGATGCCGCAGTTACACTAGACTTTGAGCGTGCATCATTTCTACAAACTCTGCAATGGTCGTATAATATGACGACACACTCAGTGGCGTCTTTTTTAAAAGAATACAAACAAAATACAACAACATGCACTTTACTGCAACAACGCAGTACTGCAGATTTAAAGTTTGCTTGCTTTTAATTCAATTTTAATTTCTTCTACTGGTCACATGTTCACATGACACAAATTCATAGGTCAGAGTTCATCATTTCGCATGAGCTTGTGTTTCCGATATTTGCATGCATATAACTGGAAGTGTAGTATGACCATCGCTTGAGTTGAAAACTGCAGTATTTTACTAAATATTTTGCTACAAAATGCCACACAGGGGTTCGAACGAACCACTGCATGAATCCTTTTTAACCAGTTTATTTATATTAATCATCTAGATGAACCAATTCACTAAAATGAAGCACTACAACACTGCAAAAAAACTCTTTAGTAGAAAAGCTAGTGTTTTGGAGACAGCTGAGAAACTAAGTTAGTAGCCTCACTACTTGAGTTAGTAACTCCCCAACATCACCCACCGCCACCAACAGAACCGGACACAGGACTTGGACATATTTCTGACTGTTCAGTATTATTAATGACTACTGGAAAAACAACAATCACAAATATATAGCTGAACCTGCGAAGGCTTTGGATATGCGGTCTTTCTTCCACTCCCAGGGCTGGTCGTACTCCTCCGGCGGCCTCTCGTCGTCCTGCGGTAATCTGCTCTCGCGGGAACACACACCTCCGTCTGGATCTCCTCCGTTCTCCTCCGGCTCGTACGGAGTGTCGTATAGAGGAAGCTGCCGGACCGGACCGTCTTTAGGAGCGCGACCGCCTCGGATTTCTGCCGAACGAAGACAGGAGATGACAAAATATCAACAGTCTGTGCTGGTTTCAGGATGCTTTTCTATTTAACACTTTTATGCATTTAGCAGGCACTTTTATACAAAGGGACCTACATAAGCAATTCATCACAGAGCCAACAATATTCATGGTTTATAATGCCAGGTTTATTTGAAAGCGAGAATAGGAAGCAATTTTAGCAACCAAATTAATCAACATACACTTACATTTAGCTGCAAGGTGCCTGTTTCAGACAGTTTCTCGTAATACATTCAGGCTTGGTTCATACTAAGTGCTTAAAAGTTTCAGTGAAACTAACAAAAAACAAGCCCAAAACACCTGAACATGCTGTGTTTAATGGTCAGGCCTGCGGCACTCAGAGGAAACCATCTCCGAAAACACAACACCGAGTCTCATCTGAACACAACAGAGAACAGCCTGAGACATACCAGAGACAAACCAGAGCTCACGTCCTGCAAAACGTCCTCCTAATGAGTGTGTGTGTGTGTGTGTGTGTGTGAGTGAGTGAGTGAGTGAGTGAGTGTGTGTGTGTGTGTGTGTGTGTGTGAGTGTGTGTGTGAGAGTGAGTGTGTGTGTGTGTGTGTGTGTGTGTGAGTGTGTGTGTGAGAGTGAGTGTGTGTGTGTGTGTGTGTGTGTGTGAGTGTGTGTGTGAGAGTGAGTGTGTGTGTGTGTGTGTGTGTGTGTGAGTGTGTGTGTGAGAGTGAGTGTGTGTGTGTGTGTGTGTGTGTGTGAGTGTGTGTGTGAGAGTGAGTGTGTGTGTGTGTGTGTGTGTGTGTGAGTGTGTGTGTGAGAGTGAGTGTGTGTGTGTGTGTGTGTGTGTGTGAGTGTGTGTGTGAGAGTGAGTGTGTGTGTGTGTGTGTGTGTGTGTGAGTGTGTGTGTGAGAGTGAGTGTGTGTGTGTGTGTGTGTGTGTGTGAGTGTGTGTGTGAGAGTGAGTGTGTGTGTGTGTGTGTGTGTGTGTGAGTGTGTGTGTGAGAGTGAGTGTGTGTGTGTGTGTGTGTGTGTGTGAGTGTGTGTGTGAGAGTGAGTGTGTGTGTGTGTGTGTGTGTGTGTGAGTGTGTGTGTGAGAGTGAGTGTGTGTGTGTGTGTGTGTGTGTGTGAGTGTGTGTGTGAGAGTGAGTGTGTGTGTGTGTGTGTGTGTGTGTGAGTGTGTGTGTGAGAGTGAGTGTGTGTGTGTGTGTGTGTGTGTGTGAGTGTGTGTGTGAGAGTGAGTGTGTGTGTGTGTGTGTGTGTGTGTGAGTGTGTGTGTGAGAGTGAGTGTGTGTGTGTGTGTGTGTGTGTGTGAGTGTGTGTGTGAGAGTGAGTGTGTGTGTGTGTGTGTGTGTGTGTGAGTGTGTGTGTGAGAGTGAGTGTGTGTGTGTGTGTGTGTGTGTGTGAGTGTGTGTGTGAGAGTGAGTGTGTGTGTGTGTGTGTGTGTGTGTGAGTGTGTGTGTGAGAGTGAGTGTGTGTGTGTGTGTGTGTGTGTGTGAGTGTGTGTGTGAGAGTGAGTGTGTGTGTGTGTGTGTGTGTGTGTGAGTGTGTGTGTGAGAGTGAGTGTGTGTGTGTGTGTGTGTGTGTGTGTGTGTGACTAATACATTATTAAAACCAAAAGTTGTATCTGTTAATACTTTTTATTTTACTTTAAAAAACTTATTATATGCTGCCCAATGTGCAAACAGAAGAATGTAAATAAGGTTAATATATACATTACATTCTACAACTTGCCCACCATAATAAAGTAATTTAAAAAAACCCACTAAAGACAGACTAAACATATGCATTTATACTTAACTGGAGTAGTAATTAGATACATCTATACCCTATTACAACAGTCCCTTTACAGCTGCTACTCTCATAAAAACACATTTACTTGTTACATACAGCATCTTCAACATGCACTTAATATCCAACAAAATGCATATTTAACATTACACAGTCAGAATGATCACACTCCTGTTCTATTGCGCTCCATCTGTTTGATGTGCATTCGCACAACGGCTCGTTCAGTGACACTTTTGATTAGTATCAAATTTTTCGATTAGTTGTTGCAGACTCAAAGTTGGCTGTATAACACTTCATACTGATGAAGAACAGCAAACACACTGCAGTCCTGCATCACTTTCAGAAGTGTAGCTCTGTGCTTGACCTCCAGGGGTCACTGGAAACTGGACTGCAGATATCTGTCACCCCTCACTACAAATCACAGAAATCATGTGTCACTCCAGTATGCGGTTTGTCCATCACTCTCTCTAAAAGCGCAAGCATCTCTCTCTGGTTCTCTGGGGTGGCATGAAGCTGTTAGCAGGCGTGCTAATGGTATGGTATAATGCAGAGACGCTCATGGAATGAAATATAACACCACAGCGCTGCATAATTGCCTCTCTGCTCAAGGGAGCTCTTGCGGAAAAATGAGAAAAGTGTAGAGACTAGAGAAAGATCTTCATATAAGCCCTGCTTGCAGAAGCCTGGATCGTTACATTACACTCTTAACTAGTGATGCACCAAAATTTCGGCAATAAAAAATGTTTTGCCCCAACAGCAATTTTAGGTTTTGGCAAAAATGGTATTGGAGGCTCAAAATCTGTGTCTATTTCATGCGCAATGTGGCAAACAGGTACATGACAGCTAGTTCTGGACTTATCATTTTTAATCTATACTATGGATTCTTAAATCTAAAGATCGGTCTTTTAGTCTATGCTGTTTTCTGTTGATGCATGAACTTCACGAATCATTATTTGTAGCCCCTGCCATCCAAAAATCGCAATAAGCTTTGTTCCGTTACTGTTAATATGAAACAAAGTCTCAAGTTTCATATTTTATCATGACAATCAACAAATGTGGTTTTGTGGCTCTTTAATGTGATGTTAATGTGATCATCTCTTCGTTTACTACTAGTTACAGCAGCAAATAAACATGAATGAACATCAGAAACAGAACAACTTCCTGAAATAAAGTCACAAATCATGTAAACGTTCAATCAGTGTTTCAACCACGTCAATAAAACAGCTTGAGAGCAATAACATCACAAAACGTCAGAAACCTCAGGACAGACATTCAATCTCTGTAAACTCAATAGTCAGCTAGAAAAAATAACTATTCAAATGAACATTTTGATAAATATATACATAATAAATATTCATAATATTTTTACTTAACCTGTCAGTGATGCCTTCATTATTTAATGCATGTTTGAATAAATTTGTCATGAAAACAACTTCACAAATTGAAGCAGAAACATAATTCTATCATTAAAAACTTGATATAAAAACTGCCATATGTGCAGATTAAATCTTTGTACAAGTTTGTATTTGGGTGTTTAATCTGATTATTTAATTAATTAACAGATAGACAGACAGATAGATAGATAGATAGATAGATAGATAGATAGATAGATAGATAGATAGATAGATAGATAGATAGATAGATAGATAGATAGATAGATAGATAAGATAAATGACAGAATGAACAAATGAGCGAGCGAACAAACGAGCAACAGAATGATGTATGGAATGATAGATAGAATGACAGAATAAAGGATTAATGGATGGAATGATAGAATGATAGAAGAAACATGGATGGATTGAACAATAGATAGAATGACAGAATTGGTGATGGATGGATGGATGGATGGATGGATGAAACAATAGATAGTATGATAGACCAACAATGGATGGATGATGGAACGATAGAACAACAGAATAAAAAATGGATGGATAGAATGCTAAAAGAAACAATGGATGGATGGAACAAACGATAGAATGCTAGAAAAAAAACTATGGATGGAACAATAGATAGTACAACAGAATAAATGATGATGGATGGAACAATAATGCTACAAGAAACAATGGATGGATGGAACAATAGATAGAATGATAGAATGAATGATGGATGGATGGAATGATAGAATGATGGAAGAAACAATGGATGGCTGAATGGATGAAACACCAGATCGTACAATAGACCGAGAATGGATGGATAATGGAATGATAGAAAGACAGAATAAACAATGGATGGAACAATAGATAGACATAGATAGATATCCAGCATGCCAGAGCGAATTGCAGAAGTTATGAAGAACAAAGGTCAACAATGTAAATATTGACTCATGAAACGTGGAAAAATAATCTACAAATACTGAAGCAGCAAACTTTGCAAAACACAAAATGTATGTCCCTGCCAAAACTTTTGGCCACGACTGTACGCTAGAACACATGACGGATGGATGATGGAATGATAGATGGACAGATAGCATATTTTCTTCAGGAATTGTAAAGGTCTAGTTCTGGACTGGATTCAGTGCTGCAGGCTGTGTTTTCTGGCTCTCGTCCGTGTGTCGATGAACCTCCTGAGGACAAACCCTGAGTCTGTTTGAGTCGCTCTGAGACTCTGACGACATCGAAGTCTGATCCCAGTCACTCTTTCTTCAGCTGTAGCTACACGCTCAGCTTTTCCATGTCAGCAGCCTGTGCTGAATCTGCTCCTCACCTCTCCGTTTCCTCCGGCTCAATCCCCGAAGAGGAGAAAATAAGATGTTACTGACTGGAAATTTCTAAAAGCGGCTCTATGTCGGCCAAGTCCTCGGGCACACGAGTGTGTGTTTGGATGAAATCAAACTCTGCATCAGGTCACACCTGCTCTCCTCACCTCTCCAATCATTTGAATAAATTATTACCGGAAGCACTTCACCGCTGCATCCATTCACCCTCCTGCAGGGCATTATGGGAGCAAACATTAAACACATGAAACAAACACCCCTCCTCCTGCAGCCCAACGCCATCCACCATCTCAGCCGAAGATATTAAACGCTTACAATCTTCGGTTTGACACCCGAAATGAGCGTTTTGCCTCACCAGCAGGTGAACTGAGGAAATGTTCAATACAGCATGTCAAATATGTTTAGATTAGCACAGGACTACAGTTCAGTAAGTCTAGAACCAGTCCAACTGATTCAGTCAGTGAGTTGGCTGTAATAATGATTCGAAACAACAAGTCTGTTCGACAG